TTTTTCATATTGTATATTTTGTATGTCCAGACAAAAAATTGGCAGATATTCTCTTCGGGATATATTTTGAAGTATTATTATCTGTGCATCTTAATCACTTTCATTTTTGTCATATACTAAATTTTTATTATTTATTTTTAATTTATAATGTATGCATGTTTTGTAAAAAAACTCACTTTCATGCAATATTCTTGATATCATCTTATCATATAAAATACTGAAAAATTTTGATCTAAATTGTTTATCATTTTTGTTTATAGACATCGAGAGGTTGGCTTTTCTGCAGTACGCTTGGCTCGTTATACTCTGGCTTTGAATGCGATGTGCATGGATCCGAGACAATTCCATGGTCACGATTTAATTGGTACATTACAACATCACGATCCACCGACCGATTATGAATTCGCATTGACAACACTCGCGGCTTGTAGTGCACAGGCACACGTACGGAAACGGCAAATGCGCCGTCTCTTGGATATTGCAAATGCTGTACGGGATCATAATGTCGGTGAGTTTTCCATTTATTTAAAAATTATTACATTATTAAAATAAAAAAGAATAAAAAGAAGAGGAAACATAAATGTCTAATATTTATGAGCAAACAGTTTGTACTTTTATCAATTTTAAATGAGATTTAATGTATTATAATATCCGAACAAATTCATCTTTTAAGAAAAAGTAAAAGTGTTGAATATCTACAATGCAATTACCCAGTATCTAGCTAATTTGGCTACTTTTTTACTATCCGGGATAGTCCTGCTCTTCGATTGAATTATGCAAAAATCATTTTCCACAATCAATATAATTATATGAAAAAATTAAATTTTAAATGAAGTGATGAATGATAAAATTAATAAGTTATATTACACAAGGTTCATGAAAATATTTAATTAGATTGATCAAATATCTGGTCAATCAATCTATCGAATAAGATATACAGAAGAATATAGTAATTAAAATTATGTTTCAAAATTACATATATTGATTAATTAATATTTTAACAGATTTAAAGTATTTCATATAACAAATTATAGTTTTTATATTTTTATTTTTATCTCATGGCTTATTATTATTTTATTAATTAATAAATAAAATTCTAGATACTGTTGCAATGTTGATATTGGCGCTACGGTGTATCGTCCAGGATCATCGACATCGCAATCTTCATCATATCGTTCGTAAGCCATCAATGGAACTGGCACGGCAGCAAAGGCATGATGGCAGTTTTGGTGACTTACAAACTACCGTTTTGGTGATGCAAGCACTAGAAGAAGTCGAAAATGAACCTGCAGATATTTGGAACAGATCCGCAGCTCTAACCTGGCTAATTAATCAACAACGATCAGACGGATCATTCCATGGTGATGTTCGAGCCACTGCCGAAGCGATGTTAGCCGTCGCACCACGTGGATTAGCCAGTATCCGAGCTCTTGACTGTGAACAGGATGTATCGGACCATTCGTCACCTCGTCTAACTACAAGCAACAGTAAATCATTTATCTATTTATCATTTATCACTATAATTTCCAAAATAAAGTTGCAATTATTTTATTTCTATCAGAAAGTGGAAAGTAACATATTATTTGTAATGTCGTTACCGCTTTAAAGTTATTTTTTCTTAATAATTGGTAATGGCGTTACTTTTTTGTTTTAACTATAACGATAATGTAGTTACATGTTTTAAAAGTTGCTTTTATCATTATTTTCCAAAGAACATTCTGAAATCTATGAGTCTTAAAGATGTTCTAAAAATTTTAAAACATCTTATCAGATATTTATTTATCTGCAGATGCTATAGAAATACAATACTTTACTTTTGTATATGGAATTATCTATACTCCGGTGGGTAGATATTACTTTAGAAATTGACCCGTAGAGTAGACATTTAATTATTATATCTAATGATATAATAATTAACAATTTTTTACCACGAGATAAATGAAATAAATAACTATCTTTTAAACTTAAGTTGCAGATACTGGGACATCTGATAATCCTAGTGAAACTTCTCTACTATCAGAAGCATCGGGAAATAATTCAAGCAATATAGATGCCACGATCATGGGTACCTCGTCACCGGTGCTGGTAAATGTGTCGTATACTCTGTGGGTTGGCAGCAACGTAAACGAAACGTATAATTTGACAGTGACTGCGCCCAAAAATGAGACTTTCTATAGTGTGATGCTCTTGGCAGCGGGCATATCTCCTCATTTCCAATTTAGTGCATCTGAATGGCCTAATGGTCATTACGTTCATACATTAGCCGGTTACAAAGAAGAACCTATGTCCTATCACTACTGGTTACTATACAGATTACCTTCACCACCAGAACCATCTTCGCCGCCTGGAAATCAATTGGTTGCACCTGGAGGTATAGATGATATTTCTTATTAAAGACATAAAGTAGTAAATAAACAAAATTAAGTTTTGTGGAATTTATAATTTTATTCATATATAATCCATATGTACAAATCTTAAATTATTAATCAGAAAAAAATGCGTGCATGCATGTATGCATATGTATGTGTATACAGAGTATACACATATCAGTAATCATATTATCTCTCGTGAAAATAGAACAGATTGTACTGAATCGAAAAGCTTTTTACCATTTTGCAAATTTTGCAATACTTAAAGAGTTATTAATTTATAAAGATTCGCGAATGAACATGCGTTCTTACGAAGTCCGTGCGTGCTCGCACTGGTTCACGTTTCATGATTGCTAAGCACGCGGCGAGTCATTAAAAAGAGAGCTCTATAAATAAGCAATAGCTAATTACGCAAATATAATGATAACTTACTCATTTTCTTTAAGAAGATTATTATTTCAAGGATTAAAAAAAAAACTATTTTTATGAATTTATAGAATTTTCAACAAATATGTAAAAAATAATAGAAATAAAGCCATTTATATTTATATATGCATATAAATACAAAAAATACATGTTAAACAATAAAAATAATGTTAAATATTAAAATCTGGACAAAAAATATTTATTTTGTATTTTGTTTTATTTTAAAAATATTTATGTAACATTTATTTATATAACAATTATTAATCTAGAAAATACTAAAATTTTAATTAAATGGTATATAATTAAAATTATCGATCTATCATAAATTTGACTTTTTTATGTTTGCAGGTGTCGACAACTTACAGATCAGTGAAGGAGAACATTATCTCTTCTGGTACAAAAAGCTATGAAATGTACAGTAAGAGGAATTTAGAAAATAAAATAATAAAAAGTAATGAAAAGAAAGGGAGAATAAATATATCGTAAGAAGAAAATGTGATGATATAAATAGCACAGTAAGAAAGAAAAAAGAGAGAGAGAGAAGAAGGGTCAGAAAAGAGGGAGGAAGAAAAGAAGAAGAAAGAAGAGAGGATGAGAGGAAGAAGATGAGGAAGAAAGAAAGGAAGAGAAAGAGAGCGCATGTGCACGTATGCATGCGTATGTGTGTTTGTACGTGAGAGCTTGAAACTCTAGAGCAGATCTGTCCAAAACTTGACTTGTAGGTTAAACGCTTTCATCTTTCCGTCCTTTCTTTGAGGGAGAGATAGAAGCTTTTAGCTCGCAAGTAAAATGTCATACAGGTCTGCTCTAGAACGAGATCCAATGTTCACTGCCATCGCTATTATCGATTTCAAGAAAAGAAAAAATATACGTTATGCTAATGCAAAAAAAGAATTAATTGAAAATAATAAGCATAGGTATTTACAAGATAGATACAATTGGCAGTGACTTTTGAAACTCTATTTAGTGGCTGTATTAAAAAACTTGATGGGATGAAGTAGAGGAAGTCAATACCAAACATATACATTATAAGCAGCCCATTCATTAACATGTTGAATGCCGTAACTACTATTGTAATTAAATAACAAATGTATAAGACTTATATTTAGAATAAATATATTCTTTAGAGACTTATGTGATTTGAATATAATAACGATCTTATACTTTTATTTAAAATGCAATTAGTTGCATAGTAGTTAATTTAGGAAATTGCACAAATATTTAGGTAGTTAACATATATTTGTTAAAAATTACGTTTATTCATGATATTGCTAATAGTTTTAGATTTTAGTGCCATATCGCTTTAAGAATCGAAATCCGCACGGCATTCAACGTGTTTTTATTGACACTACGAAGCTACATAACATTTTTTATAAACCGCAGTACACAAGCATATTTATCGTAATTAATTCATATTTACTTAAAACTGAATATTACTCATATTAGCGATAACTGATTCCCGATATTCCCGATTTCAGCTGTAATGTGTTGATTTAATAAATACTCTTACAATTGAGAAAAATAAGTGACAAATAAAAAGTGAATACATAATTAGCAAATATGTAAAACGAATTTGCATATCTACTGTCATAATTTATTTAACAAAAAAAGAAAGATAGAAGCGCATCATATTTACATGCACGATATATTATTTGTCAAGTAGTTAAAAAAAAATGTATGCTTTTGTTCTTTCCTTAAATTAATAAAGAGGAATTAGTAAAATATATTTATAAACCTAAATTAACTGGTATATTAATTATAATTATAAATCCTTATTATTATTATATAGCATTAAATTTTTTATATAATTATAATAATTCAAAGTAGCAGATTTTTTTTATATTTTGTATACACACACGTATAATAATTTTGTTAAATTTTATTAACAATTACAAATTGACATTAATTTTTTATTCAATTGAAAATAAAAATCTTTTTCATTTTTAAGTAAGTTTTTCTTTTTTAATTTATGAGACTAGAAATTGGCTCTACTTTTTAATATCACATTTGTTTCAATTAAAAGTTGATTTATTCTCTGATAGAGAAATTTTTTTATAAAATGAACAAAATCTTGTACATATAAAAATTTTTCTATAAAACAATTTTTTATAGAAATTAAAAATAACAAAAGGATGTGTTAGCTTGGCATCATTCTTTCATTTTACTTTAAAAGGTGATTTTTGTTACGTCCGGCAGATCCCACAATTCTTCACTTTCGTAAATTTCATGAGATTACTCTTCGACAGAAGAGTGCAATAAAACTAACGGTTGTTTCTCAGCAAACAGACAATATCTATATTAATTCAAAGTTTTGAAGAATCTCGTTGATATCTCGTTGATATCTCATTGTTTAATTTACGAATTATAATTAGTAACATTTGTCAATATTGGGCTGCATTCGGATTCCTCACTCGGATGCTTTCTTTCTCTCTTTATCTCACTCTTATATCTCTTTCACTCCAATGCAGCGAATTCACTCGAGTGGAGAATCGGACGCAGCCCTGAAGTGAAAGTTGATATACTTTAAAGATTGATATATATGTTTTGTGTGCAAACATATATATATATATATATATATGTATATATATATATAATTTATATAACATGATCGAAGAAAACGAAAAGAATAAAATGAGGAGACGAGGTATCTGATCTTATTGTATACTAAACTTTTTAGAAATTTTATTATGCAAGATTTAAAA